TCTCTAAAATTGTCTCCTTTCACTTCACCTCTTTTCCTTTTCTCTAGCAATGTTCTGTAGCCTGCTTTTGCCTCCACCCTCTGTCCCCCACCCTCTCATCTTATTTTCCCCCCAACTCTGCGCTACTGACTCTTTCTGAAGCCTTTCTACTGCTACTTTTTGGCTCCTTCTTACTAGTGTCTTTCAGCCACACATACGATTTACGTGTACGCAAGATCTATATCTAGCCTTCTCAGACAAAGGCGAATATTTTCGGAGGTCCTGCGTGCAAGTTACGCACGTTACAGATCCCTAAGTGGTCTAAACTCGGCAAGAGTAGGCTTCAGACGCCACCCAGACAAAATTCAAAATCTCCTGCCAACTGAAAATGTTTAATGTGACCCGCGCGCTCATAATAATGACCTTATGCAGGTACGAGCTATGTAAAACACTTACCAAAAAAAAGAAAAAAGAAGCATGTGGTGTGTGGTGTATTTGTCAGAGTATGTTCAGAAATCTGTGTCCAGTAATGTTTTCTGAGAAATGAGCTGGTGCTGACCTCGTGTTACGACAGAGAGTTACAGACTTCCTCCAGAATGTTCGAGGAATGGAGAAGAACGTTGTTCTTTGCATCAATCCGACCATACAAACGTTTGAAGAAACACCGCCCTGTACTTTGAACTCATTTTCAGATAGACAAACATGTTCACGCTCGAGTTGATGGTAGTCAGCAAGATGCTGATGGAGTTGGCGAGAAGGAAGAGGTTTTCATTCTTACCTCTAACGAACAGGTCTGTATCTATAACCAGACAGAAAAACACCACTGTCGAATACAAGGAGCAGACGATAAAGATGGCGCCAATGAAGGTCACCGTTTTTGCGACCTTTTTCTCTTTGAGCCCTAAATCTCCCGACCCACCGCTCCCTTTACCAGCTGTCGCTTTCCTCCATTTTGTCTTTTTGTTGAGCTTGACGACTAGGACCGTGGTACAGATGATGACAGTCACGAAGGAGAAAGTGTTGATTAGGACGCCCTGGGTCATACTAATTATCTGATTGACGACCTCAAGGGCGGGTGTGCGGGTTATTTTTAGTATCGACGTGTTCCTCTCGGGAACAAATACCCAAGCCAGCTGGTTTGTGTAGTAGCAAGGCAGAAAGAGACAGAACAAGAGGAGGAACAAGGAGACGACGAGACGCTTTGTCCTTCCGGGGCTGATGATTGTCCGGACCCGCAGAGGCAGAACGATACACAGACATCTCTCGAACGTGATGAAAGCCGTGATTAAGCCTGTGATTCTGGAGACAGGAAAAACACACAAGTAATGTTACGCCCTAACTCCAAGTAGAAGAATCATCTCCCGCACTGTATGTAGGTCCAAAAATGACAGCTAATAACATTCCATTAACGAACGTATCCAGAGACAGTTACCGCCCATATCAGCACTATTAGGTTATTTAAGAGGTGAGATCTTCCAGTTTAACTTCCATCTCCGAAAGGACCGAGCCAAGAGGGAAATTCGTGTAAAGTGCCTTTCCCAAGGACACAACGTCGGGCCGAGCTGAGGCTCGAACCCCCGAACCCCCAATTTCAATTACGAGTCCGGTATTCTAATACCCAGTGGCCTTTGGGGGATTGGTTCTCTGATACAAAACGATAGCCAATCGATTGCTCCATTC